CCATTGCAAGAAGGACATGTCAGCGATGAAAACATGCCTATCTCCTGCTCCCATCTGTTCCTTCAAACAGTCTATTTCTGCCACAATTCGCTTTCTTGTCTTCTCCTTTCAAAGGAAAGTCCTCCCAACCCAAAACCCTGGGCTGATCTTTTACACTGGACAAACTAGGTCATTCATGTCCATCCCCACACCCACATCCACTGGCGTGTGTCAGGGGGCCACATGGTCCACATGGTCCACGATTCCTTTTTGGGCTCGCTCTGATCTTCCGCTGTACATGTCACGCGCCCAAAAGCACCGACACGGCGTCTTCAACGCCGGCCCAGCCTCGCTACGGTCGGGTGTAGCAAACGAAGCTGGCGTGCTACTTTGACACGTAGTCTTCAGTCTTCGGGAAAAGGACATGTCGGAAATCTCACTGACATGATCTCAAGTGACGATCTCACTTCTATCATCTTTCAAGAAGCAAAGGGGACCGACTGATCTGAGTCCGAGGCCAGTGGTGGAGAGTGCGCGCTTGGCGCTGGCTTCGTCAAAGCCCATGTCCATCACCTGTTTGGAAGAGCCGGCCATGAAAGACTCGTAAACACCACACTGGTATACAAACCTTCCCAACATTAACGGCCAACTCTTCCGACCTGCGTCAGCAGTTGTCGTTGTTGCGCTGCCGGGGGAGCACCTGAAAAACAATGCTCGGCCTGAAAAACAAGATCTCCGGAAAGTGCTCACTGGTGAAAGCCCTGAGCCGCTTAGTGAAAGCTGAGCATGAGACGTTTCTCGACCTTCGGCTGGACCCGTGGCTGTCGAGGTTGGTCCGTCTTTCTGTTCCAAAGGTACTGCCTCAGACCACGGCGGCGGGTCAAAACGTGTGAAAACCTCCCAAAAAATGAACCGAATGATTGCTGCGTTGAATTGGACATGTTCACCTAGCATAGTAGTCTTGGGTGTTTTAGGGCCCCATCCCACCTAGTAACGCAGCGCACGGCCTTGGACCTGAGCTCTGGACTGCAAGTCAGGGTCATCCTCCTCCTCGTAGTGCTTGGCTGACCTCACGGATCTGCCCTGGTTTTCTCCCTGGGAGGACAGGCGGGTGGTGGTCTGCCCTACCACTACCAGATGGATCAGCAAACCCAAGAATTCGTCTTTAGAACCAGAAAGGACACAGTAGATGGCTGTAGATGGAAACTGTAGATCTTTTGCTTGAGCAGGATCACGGCAGGTAATCTTCCTAGTACTTGAAGCATGCAGAACAATGCTTTGATGCAACCAACATGGTTCATACGTTGGTGGCTGGGGAAGAAATACCTCACCATCTTCAAAAATATTCCTACTAGGAGCAAGGACGCTACTAGAGGCTCCTGGCCTTACTACTAGTAACAAGCAGCTACTAAGGTCTCCTGGCACCGCTACTAGGACGCTACTACATCGAAGCTGACCCCCATCCTCCACTCCAGGCCGCCCGGCAGCTTCTCCACAGGCCGCTCGGCATAGCGCATGGTGAGGCTCGAGGGCTGGCGATGGCCGCTCAGCTGAAAAGGCTGTGACATTCGTTTGGGAATAACACCCGTCAGCCCCTGCAGACTGAGACAGAACCTGACAAAACGGGAACGGGTCTTGTAGAGGAAAAGGTTTTTCAGGGTTTTATTTTCAGGTTGTATCATAAGGGATAAAAGTTCTGCTCATCGAAGCAGTTTCACCCGTGTCCAAGCAAGCTGGATGGGCGGCAAAGCCAATCACAGGCGCCTGGCAAAAGAAAAGAAGTGCATGGTTGTGGCCTTTTGCTCAGTGGACCCACACAGTAGATTGGTGACTACTAGGAGGGACATTCTTGCTACTACTAGGAGGCTTCGGATGCTACGAACGGGGCTCGATCAGCGTGTCGTCTCGTGGATCGGCCTTTGGCCTGACCTGCTGCGGCAGCGGGTTCATCGCCTCGGAGAGACTCCGTCATCTCCGAGTTTCGGCGGAGGCAGCGGAGAGATGTCGGATTCTTGATTGAAACATCATTGAAAAGAAAAAAGGAAGCGGCTGTTCAGTCCAAGTAAGTGGAGCGGTTTATTGTTTGAAAAATATATACAGTCGACATGATCCAAGTCTCAACCAGCTGGGTCTGTCTCAAAGGGTTGCTCCGATTGGTCGCACTGCTTTGAGGAAGTGCTAAATGTATTGAAGAGCCTCGCTGCTCTTAGACTTTCGACAAATCACCGTCATCCTTGATCTGGGCAGTTTGGTGATTGCAGTCCACCCTCGGATGTGAGTCTAGGAATGAAGATCCAGAATTTCTGCAGTGATCCAAGGCCAAAGAATTACCGAAACAAGCTCTGTGTGTGTGTGGGTTAACATAGCAAGTCGGTTAGCTGAAACAGTTTCACTTGTGTCAGCTCCTAAAGATCTTGGCATCCTGGTGGTTTTGGAGCTTGAAGGGACAGGCTTCCCATGGCAGCCACCTGGCAGCCACCTCCATATCCTCCAAGTGCCAAAATCCCTTCACTTCGGCACCTGCGATCTTGGGGCTGCCCACCGGCGCCTTGGCTGGCATCACTTTGGCTTTTGCCTCCATCGGTATCAACGGAATGTTCAACATGATTTTGTAGGAAATGCGGTATGAATGCAACCCTAGCACACCCACTCATGATTTTGCTAAAGTTTATTTTGTGCAGTTTTTTGAGCAGCATGCGAAGAAAAGACCCGTTGGGGCAAACTGAAGTAGTAAACCTCAAGTGGGCTTGGAAGATCATCTTCCACTGCTACCTGTTGGCAGGGCTAGTTTTGAGACCAGGATTGCATGTCCCCTTACCGGCAATTGTGTCTCAACTACCCTAGGCCCTAGAAATACGAAAAAGTATGGGCTGACTGATACAGTAGAAGATCTGAGAGACTCGGCTAGATCCATTCTACACGAAGAAAAAGGATCCAAAAGTTGTCAGCACACGCAGATTTGTTTGGGTGGCCTATTCATTTCGGACCACTAATTGTCCTGTCCCGTATAGACATATGGCAGTCACTCCCTGCCTGCACCTTTGGCGCTGGCCTCAGACAGGGCCAACAGGGATGAGCTTCGACAGGGCACCGGTGGGTCATACGGCTCCAGGTCACCTCTCTTGGATATGGCTTTAAGTACAAACCAGGACTCCACAGCTTTTGCTTCTTGCCTTTGAACCCATGCGACAAACCTCTTCTGAGCCTGGTGACAATATGTAACAACAAAAGCTTTCTCTTGCAACTTGTGGATCCATCCGCCTTTCCACCACCCCCCCCAAAAAAAGGAAAAGGTAAGCGAACGGGGAAACGTGTCCTCCCCCAACAGTTGGAGACGATTTCGCTGAGAAGCGCTTGCCTTTCCTGTGAGTTTCAAGGGCTTCGTCCTGGGGGACCCCACTTCGCGGCCACCCCGGGAGGCGGCCTCGCCGACCTCGAACTCAGGCGGCGAGTGGCGAGAGAGTGACAAGCGGAATCCAAGCCACAGCAAAATAGTGACCGTGCGTGTGAAAGACTTCGAAGGAAACCTTCAGGGCTATGTTCACTTCACCATCTTCACCTACATTTAGCCAATGTGGAAATCTGCCCTTGGCCATGATCCAATTGATGTTTTCCGGAACGATCAGGAGTTGGAGTTGCTTTCTCCAAGATTGAAACCAAAAACCCTGAGGATGCTGCCTGGTGTCTGGACCGGGGACATGCCCCGGCATCCTTACCGCAACTCCTGCTGGCATTGGAGGTGGTGTTTGAGCTGGGGGCACCTTTGCAGCTGGCGCTGCAGGCGCCATTTGCGCTGGGGGCACCTTTGCGGCAACCGGAGCTGCTGGTGCTGTTTGCGGTGGGGGAAC